TGTATGTCCCGTGCCCCATATTGCGATAAGTGATATTGATCGTTGACTTAGATCAGATAAGCACTTTGGCAAGGACCGGCCACTCAGAAGTCAGGTAATTACTTGTGGGTGCAGGAACATGGGTCATATACGTGCTTAGTGAGAGACTTGTGTGAGGCGCCCACACAATGTTGAGCATTGTTATGTATGTTGATTGATGGGCATTTGTGTCAGGCACTATACATGTGCTGAGATTTGATATACTTGATGATTTAACTGTAATATTGTTAATTTTGGTATGTATACTTGTCATGCATGTACTAGATTGTGTTCTTCCCTCATGCTTATTGGTACTTGGTGTCTTTATTTGATGGGTTGAACTTGAAAACACAATTAAATTGATAAAACCATGTTTAGGTGTTTTTTTGTTGAAGAATTTATGCCTAAACTATTATTCTTGAAAACTTATTTCTTTTCATATTGTGAGAATGTTGAATTTAATATTAGTTGAGCTAATTTTTTTGTTGTTGTTATTTTTCATTATCTTTGATTATTGCCTGTTGAAATTGAAATTGAACTTGCCAAGCTCGCCACTGCTTTCAGCCGAGGTTATGCTTGTTACTTATTGAGTACATGGGGTCAGTAGTACTCATACTACACTATATACTTTATGTGTAGATCCAGGTGCTGCTTAGAGAGGTGATTGCTAGGGAATGGCACATGTATCATCTTTGGGAGTTTTCGAGGTAGCTGATGTTCCGTTCGCGTGCCTTGAAGTCCCTTTTCTCTTAGTTTATGTTATTAGTGTTCTATCTTTCAGGTAATTCTGCATTTTGGGATCAGACTCTGTTTTTAATTTTGTAGTGCTTATGTTCTCGTCGAGACCAAATCACGAGATAGTTTTAGTTATATTATGCCTATTGACTTCAGTTATTTATGATTATTCCGATGTTGAGACTATTTAATACTGTTATTTAAGTTTGTTTCTACTTATTTATTTATGGCTTAACTAGCAAGCAGTGTTAGGCATCTTCAAGGCTCCGATGGGATTTTTGGATCGTGACATTAATAAACAAATCAACCTGGGCCCATATGGAAAAAATCCAATTCTAAGGTCAAATCAAGTTAACCCATAATCCCATGAGTCTAAGTATGTAATTAGTTTTCAAATTTAAGTCCAAATCAACGTTCAAAACTCAAAAACACACTATTAAGTTGTAGATAAAAAGTTCAAAGTTTACTCTCAAAATCCATATTTTATGAGTAGAAATTCATGAGGAATCAAGATATATAATCAAAAACAAGTAAGAATTACTTACTCTCAAGCTTGGGTGAAAATCTCCTAAACTATCGCCTCCTTCCGAAGTGTAGGTCTAAAAATTATGAAAATGAGCTAAATCACGATTTACGTGATCATACCTTGACAATCTGGTACCAAACCTATTATATGTAGGTTCATTATGTGTAATAGATGAACAATGTGCATGGAAGCTCCTCCAATACTTGCTGAAATGGCCAACCCAAAGTTGTAAAGTCCCATAGGCAACCATACCTAATCTGGGCATTAGTGTATTCTTCCGCATGTTACTGGCCCTTGTGGCTTGATGAACTATATGATTCATACCTTGTGCTATCCTCCGAAAGTATTAGATGCAAAGAGATTTTCATTCCATAGTGTAACTCTTCCCGTTTACTCCATACTGTACATGGATGTGGATAAAGTAACATAGGCTTATGAGCAGTCTTCTCTTTGCATTTTTTAGAGAATAGTGGTTATACCTATAGGGAATGGGTATCAAAGATACTAATACCACCCTAATAGTTTTGGCCAAAACATATAGCCAAACCTCTTCCAAAGTACCTGCAAAATCTAGAAACATGTTAGAGAAAAAAATTCTTCCTTCTCTCCTCCCTAAGGATTTGAGTTGGAAATGTCATGTGATATCCTTCCCCTATAGCTTGCATCATTCCTCCATAATACATTCTCCTCCTCCTCTTAGCTAGTATGATCTCCCCTTACTCTTCATATCATCCATCTCCTTCATCAATTAGCATTTGACTTGGCAATTCTTACCCTGAAATAGGGTATTTGAAGTTTGTCATTATTCAATATCTTCCTCCTTTGTATGTCCAGTTCCCAAAATTAATTCATATGTTGCATATGTTGTGAGTCCAATGTCAATTTAGCTAGATGATCAGCTAACTTGTTACCTTTCCTCAATACATGGACTACCTGAAATACACCCCTAGACAATAATGGTTTGATTTCATCAACCTGATTGGCTATGCTCCAAGATGGTTCCCAAACTTCATCCAACACATTCTTCGTAAGTAAAGAATCGGTTTCAGTTATGCATGGAGGAAATTTCATTTGAGTTATGTACCTTAGAGCCTCTAGAATAGCATGTGCCTCAGTTATATTGTTTGTTGCATCCTCCACTGCATCTGTCTGAGCATAAATCAGATCTCCTATTTCATCCCATATGCAAAAACTATGTGAAGCTCTTTCACTGTCCCTTCTACATGCCTACTCAATATTGTATTTGTCATGTCCCAAACCTTGGGAGACGTGGTTGGCACCCGGTGCCGCACTGGCCCGAGCGAACCGTTCGGGAACATTTTTTTCTTTGTAACTATAATGGGCCAACACGGACACAAGTCGTAATGTATAACTACAAGTGAGCAACACTAATCAATTAACTATTGTTCTTAAAATATGAATACATATGGGTCGTCAAGGCCTCTGACATACTGTACCAAATGAACATCTGTCTACAAAGCCTCTAAGATTATTTGATATCAAATAGGACAAGGTACCGGCCTACCCATAAGTTTGTAGCAAACTCTAACACGATGACTTATAGACTCGACTGCACTCCGAATGAGGTGGAGTCTTACCGATCCTTCGCTGAATGCTAATCTTAACTACTTTGAGGGCTCGTCAAATTGATTTTTCTATACCCGCTGGCATGAATCCAGCATCCCCAATAAAAGGACGTCAGTACGAATAATGTACTGAGTATGTAAGACATATAGATCAGTATATAAAGAACATGGAAGAAACATGGAGTAAAGGACTCAACCTGTAAGTCTGGATAGCTCTCTAAATCATGAAATATTTATAATGTCATGCATATGCATATAAATGTCAAGTAATGCATAAGTCCGTACGTACATAACATCATCAAAACTCTGAAGGCATTCCATCATATCATATCGGCTAATGTGGGCAAATCATCAATGTATACCAGTTGATCAGGTGGTGGTGCGTACATAACGCCATAACCTTTCCCATATCCCATATACATATATATACATATATATACGCGTATATAACGCCATACTATTATTACGCCTCTGATGGCATCCCATCATATCATCTCGGCCACTATGGGCAAATCATCAACGTATACCAGCTGATCAGGTGGTGATGCGTATATAACGCCGTAATCTTTTCTCATATCCCATATACATATATATACATATATATACGCGTATATAACGCCATACTATTATTACGCCTCTGATGGCATCCCATCATATCATCTCGGCCACTATGGGCAAATCATCAACGTATACCAGCTGATCAGGTGGTGATGCGTATATAACGCCGTAATCTTTTCTCATATCCCATATACATATATATACATATATACGCGTATATAACATCGTCTGAGTCGTGGTTAAATGCAGATGTATAAATGCATGAAATGCATATGAAATACGTTAATAAAATCTCTCGATACATCATAAGACCATTATACCTTTGGTTAATGTCATGAAATAATCTTTACCAACCTGCGTAGTTTTGAGATAGGGTTGAAGCAACTGAAGGTTCTTGCACCTTTTATGCTACTACTGGGTGAGGGTTTCTCTTGGGTGGAGGGATGGTTCTATTTCCTATAAATCTTGATGACGTAATAGTAAATAGGACCAATTTCCACTTCATTTGCAGTAACTCCTGGATTCTTGAAATTCGGCGATACTTAAAACAAAAGTGCGAACGCCGAAATGGTTGATTTCTTGTCAAAGTTACTGCATTTCTTTCAACTGAGTTCCATCCCCCCATAATTAATTGTTTAACACTAAGTTGATCGGTTATAGAAATTACATAAAGATACCCATAAACAAATGATAGATTAATATGATACACGGGGAATCAAGAACATAAGCATTTCTAGTATTTCTATGAATAGAGTCATTTATGAAAGTTGTGCATTTGCTCGTTTCATTCGTGTCGTATAGATCATGCCAAAAGAAAGAAGGGATATCCTTAACTGTAGTTTTGTTTTACAGGAATTAGACAATTGGGTTCGTCGCAAAAGCATATAACATAAATTTTCAGGATAGGCTTGAACCAGGGACAGCAAGAGGCACATCACTTGGATTTTTCTAAACATACTTTGAATGCTCTCAATGAGAAAGACTATCACCATGAAGCTTTATCGCAGCACACAAATTAATACAGAAGTTGCAACAACGAAAAAAATAGTCATTAACGCCCTTCCATTTTTTTTATAAACTCATTGATACCCTAATTTCAACGTACTCTAGTAGAGTATGAGATAACTGAACAAAATAACCAATGGATAGAAAAAATGATACTCCATCCACTCTGTATTGTGTGACAATATTTGAGTGAACACATAATCAAAATTTATTATATGTAAGGATGGAAGTAGTAAAATGGTTGCTGAAAGGTTGTTAATGGAGAAATGATCACAGCAGCATGCAAATTTTGATAGCTAAAATGAATTTAAATTCTTGAAACTAGAATTTCTTTAGAAAAGCCTTCAGCACTGAACTCAAGACATTCTATGTAAAGGAACATAGCTGCCTCATTCCTCAATATAGGTTGGGTCGAATAATTTATCCGTTTTTTCATTACAAGTTTTCGACCCGAACCATATCCGACCCGCCCGTTTGCCACTCCTTCTCTCAAAACAAACATATAGTCCACTACCGCATATGAAAAAGGTATACTATGTAAATGGAATGCAGAAGAAAAGCAAAGCCAGGAATGATGAAAGTAGCTTTTTCCAAGAGGGAGTCATCAGAAACACATGAAAAACTTCAAATGTACATTACAAGCATGTAAATACATAAGGCGTTTTTTTTTCTAAAATGAGAAATAGTAAGTTCAACCAGAGGCAGAACATTATGATCACAAAGAATGTGAAAATAAAACAGGTTACTTTTAGATAAACCTTGTTATTCAAATGGCCAGTTAGAGTAGCCCGAGTAATGATTGCATTGATGGCTGGTCTGTGAGCTGGTTTCAGCAGCTGGAGTACTAGGGGAACTAGAATGAGATGAGCCAAAACGCCAGAGGAACGACCATGGCCTCCGCCTTTCTTGATTCTGAGAACTGTCCTCCCTACCACTTAATCGCCAACTGCTGCTTCTACTTTGACTTCTGGAGCTTCGAGAAGAATGGTCATTGCCAGATCTTTGAGGTATCAGCTCCTGTCTACAAACAGGACATGAACTCCGCTGTTCTAGCCATGGAACTATACAATATGAGTGATATAAATGCTTGCAAGGCAATTTTATTGCCTGCGTCCCTAGTACAAATTTCTCTTTGCAAACAGGGCAGTGGGAATCCGATCTAATATCCTTTTTCAATATCTTGACTGTAGGCAGGGCATCAATTAAAGATCTTGAGGCAGGAGGAGCACCACTCTGATTGCTATTGACAATTTCTTCAAAGAATTCTTCCACTCCAGGACCAACAAAATAATCACCACCATTTTCTCGTCGGAAGCCAAGAGCCTCATTAAGAAACTCCACAACTCCACCATCCCCAGGCATCTGAACAGGCGTATCACCACTGAAAATCAGCAAGGGATTCCACAAATTTCTTTGTTCAGCACTCCCATCAGATCTCCCTCTCTCAGAAATATTACTTCTAGCAGAGATTTGTCGTCTTAAAAAGTTTGAGACAGATTCCATAAATCTCGGCCTCTGGTTCTGATAATCTGCACTACTACTCATTATGTCATCGAGCTCTTGAACAAAACTACCAAGGCAACTGGGGCAAACAGCATTAACGAGATTCACGGGTTGCCCACAACTATGACACCAGTGGGTGCAACTGTTACTTGACATGCTTACTCTGCTCACACTTCTGCGCAACAAAATGCCTCTTCTTGACAACTATCCTGACCCAAAACTAAATAACATAAAAGTTGTAGCTCATTAAGCTCCTCAAAGAAACTGAGCCACTTGAATAACTTATAGGTATCATCAGGCCAAATGTTATTGGTCAGAATGTTATTCAATTGGAACCAGAAAAGTCTTGAAAGAAGACATTCCATTTAGGACAACCAATATAAGTATCAAATGAAAGATCATCATAAATCCAAAATTAAATGTAAGAAACATGACGGAAGAGAGAAAAATGCACTAATTATAATTAAAAACAACTACTCCATGTTGAGCCAAGAACAGAATAAAATCAAGAAATACGTGAATCATAACCACAGAGAAAAAGAGCTTTACCTAGTCTCTATGGATAGGTAGTTCAAGAAAAATTAGCACGCTCGGTGATAGAAGGAAATATTTAGCGTTTAAAAGGAGGATCAGACAGATAAAAGAAGATAAATGATAATTCTATCTATTGTTACCTCACAGTACAAGGATAAAAGGGAATAGCTAAATTCTGTTCAAAAGATGCCGAAGATCCAATTCCAAATTCTCCAATTTAAAGAACCATCTGATACCCAATAAAGAAATCCATTTAACCATCTAATGAAGAAATCCATAAACTCCATTGCAAAAGCAGTGTACCAATTTGCACAAAATCCAACTAAATGAACCATGAAAATAGAATTTCTAAAAAACTCAGATACAACAAATCTACTGGAAACAAAGTAGAAGATAAAACACTGTAAAATAAAGGCAAAGAACGAACAAATTACCTTTGATAAAAATGCAAAGTTTACAAGGTAAGAACGGATCCAGATTCAGGAAAACACACAATGCAGGTTATTCTCGGTGAAGGAGTGCGTTAGCAGAAAAGATGCAGTTTTTGAGAGTGAGTGTAATAGTGATGAGTTATTTATTTTATTATTGTTACCCTAAGCGGGACCGGAGAAGGTCCGAATAACAAGAGTGTACGGTAGACAGCCTTATCCTGCAATTTTTACAAAATACTATTTCAATGGCTTGAACTCGTGACCTCCGGACCACATGAAAGCAACTTTAGCAGTTTCACCAACGCTCCCCTTCAAAAATAATTTATTATCATTACACTCAACTATACTATAGAGTTGTGAGGAGCGTTGGAGAAATTTTATTTTGAGTGAGATATGGCATATAATACTTGAGTGAAGGTAGCGGTTTTTTGCCAAATGGCACCTGTGGGACCCGCAATAAATGAAAAAATAAAAAAAAATATTCCTTTTTTCCATTCACATTCATCGTTCCNTCTCCCTTCCCGCTCCCCCCAAAAAACACTTTAAGTGACCGAAATCTATGGGGAAAAAAATAGTTACCAAAATATATATAGCATTTTTTTAAAAGACGCTATACTTTAACGGCCGTGTAGTTAGTTAAGTATAGTGTTTTTGAAAAAGACGCTATATTTGAATTTAAAATAAGCGGAAAAATATAGCATCTTTTGTATAACGCCAAGCGTAGTTCAGTTAGGGAGGCAATGCTTAACCTCATGCAAAATAGGAGATATGACTTAGTCTCATGCAAAGAAAAGACAATGAGTGATAGCAGAGTATTTCTTATCCGGAGACATGTTTGCGTTTGACAATTTTGTCGTTATGAAAATAGTGATTTTGATATGTGTGTATTTGCGAATACTCCTGTTATGTTCATTGTGTCTACATCCAAAGAAAAATCGTAAGTTTTGCGGGGAAAGTTGGTCCGTGCTTTCGCCTTCTCGCTTTGCTTTTGCCTGGCTCTACTTTTTCCCTATATTGGAATCCTGTTCAAGTTATCCTGTGCAGCATCTGGCTGTTTGTAAAAAAAAAGTTTTCGAAAAATATGCGTACATTTGATGAATGTAGTTACTTAAAAACATACTAGTATGTTATATTTTGTAAATTAGATAGACCAATGACTTTGGCACTTTAGAGACATTGTGACTTCTCTACATTAGAATTTAGAGGGTCCTCCTCAAAATTCTGCCCTAGTTTAATAAGCGGTTCTTTGACTGTTCATCGAAATCGGTTGGACTTGCTTCAGAATTTTGAGGGTCCTCCTCAAAATTCTGCCCTAGTTTAATAAGCGGTTCTTTGACTGTTCATCGAAATCGGTTGGACTTGCTTCAGAATTTTGAGGGTCCTCCTCAAAATTCTGCCCTAGTTTAATAAGCGGTTCTTTGACTGTTCATCGAAATCGGTTGGACTTGCTTCAGAATTTTGAGGGTCCTCCTCAAAATTCTGCCCCAGTTTCTGACCATGGCAAAATAAAGATTTTATTAAGATGTGACCTAACCCATAGGGCTGCCTACGTATCCCCCCTTAAACGGAAATTTGGCCAATCGTAGTTCAGTTAAATCAGATGAAGAAATTTAAACAATCTAAACATAATATCTCTTGGCTGTGTCTGAATCGATAGGCTTTGACCAAATTTCTCCGTCCATTCCTGTGAGTATGAGTGTTGTTACACCCCGTAAGTTTAACAACCTTGATACCATTATATATATATGATATGGTATTTTGAGTGGAACATTTTGTAACAAAAAAAATGGTTTGAAATATATGATTTTAGATAATTATTAATATTACTACTTTCGTATATGTTTTAAATTATACACATAATATGAGAAAAGTTTATGAGCTTTTCTTTATTGCAAAGATATGAATTATTTTTTCATAAGAAAAGAAGGTTATCTTTTTTAACATTTTAACAATTAAGCATACGAAATTTTTTTACTCTTTATATGAGATTAAAAAAATTAGAAGTTGAGAATATATATATATATATTTGCATGGATATTTTAATAAAATAATAGTGTAAGTATTTATTTTATATGGTACCACATGACCATGATAGTAAGTTATACAATGTGTATTAAAAATGAGTAGTATTTTACATAGTTTAAGATAATTCTTAATTACGTGAATATTTGGTTAATTGTGAATTTTTGGTGGAAGATTAACTACGTAATTAAAGAAATTGGTGAATAAAATTTGGATAAGTTTAAGTAAAGAAAGGTAGGGGTGGGCATCCGATGGTTCGATCGGTTATTATAAAAATACAATTCGGTTAATCGATTTTCGGTTTTGTAATATTAATAACCAAATCAAACCAAAGTATTTACGGTTCGGTACGGTTTTTTCAAAGTTCGGTTCGGTTATTTCCGGTTTATATTTTCGGTTTCAAACGGTTGTAGACTCGTAGGAACAACAAAGTCTGTCCTTATATAATTATGTACAATACAATGTCTAAAGACTCCTATAAATAATGTGTATTGTGGCAATTCATTCCCCTCACCAATTATAGCGTTTAGGCACAATGTAGTATGGAACACCAGAAAATTTTCAAATACCAAAATATTTGGCATACAACAGAAAGATATAGACATGAAGGTTCCTGTTCCCTTTGGCATTCCAGAATGAGAAAACTACAGTTCCCTTTGGCATACCAGAATGAGAAAACGAAAGGAGCAATGCATATTGCATTGTGCTAGGGTAGTGGCAAAAACAGATAATAAACTGCTCAGCAGTGGCAAACTTGTCCAAAAACAGTTTAACATATGGCAAATCTAGCAACTACCAAAGTCCAAAATAAGTCTAAAAATACCATCACCAAACAACAAAACAGTGGCAAACTAGTCACAACCCATAAGCCATAAAATAAGTCTAGAAAATGATACTTAAAGTCTAACATACGGAATCACTGGATGAGGATTGAGACATTTCTTAATATGCTTCACTAAGCACATGGTGACAACATACTTTGGATGACAATTACAAACTCGACCACAATGAAGACACTTTGCTTTGCGGACTTGTTCATTTGCTTCAACTAGCTCACAATGTTCCCAAATAGGTGATCTAGCTTTAGGACCACGAGGCATAGTTGAACCTACAAAAAAAAAGATCACAAGTTAATAAAATATTTTTAATTATAAATAACAAAAGAATACCATAAAACAAGCAAATTCTTAAACTTACCACTTGTTCAAACTATGCATCAACAATGCTAGTATCTCTTTTAATAATGCAAGTTTCTCTTCTGTTCGTTGCCATATCTAAATATAATTTGATAACGTGTGTCATATAAACTTACAAAGTAAACTAATTTTTACTAAAACACTCATAAAATGGAAAATCTTACCAAGTTCAATTTGCTCAAGAAACTCCAAATCTTCTTCAACATTAATAGGAGTATCGTCACATCTAAACCAATCTTGAACACAAACAAGACTTTGCATCAACCGAGGAGTCAATGAACTCCTAAATGAATCAAGGATGCGGCCACTGGTGCTAAATGCACATTCCGATACAACACTTGAAATTGGAATAACTAATACATCACGAGCTAGCTCAGATAGAACAGGAAATCGAGGCGCATTAATTTTTCGCCAATCTAAGATTTTAAAGTCATCAGAATCATCAGAAAATGGCTCTTGTCCTTCACCAATATTTCTTTCCAACTCATATTTAGCACCTACACTTTCAGAGTCTTCCTTTTGCCTTTTCAACAATTGCTTTGTTCTCACATTCACACTAGATAAATCGGATGTGTCATCAGATGAAGTAGATTTAGATGGAAATGATTGAAGACAACATCCTTTGGAATATTTTTTTTGATACTCCCCAAACAAAGAATTCAAATTAGCATCCACTTCGGCAATTAATTTCTTCCCTGGTTCCTTCCCAAACATTTCCTCAAGTGCAAAACCCACATAATCAAATTTTTTATGAGGGTCTAATACAAAAGCAATGAAAATCATTTTATTCATCTTTTGAGGTTCACCCCAATATTTTTTAAACTTCTCTTTCATCTTCTCTGCCATCTTTCTCAAATTAGTATTATCACTAGCTAAACAAGTTTTTAAATGACTATCAAGCTCACATATATCCTTAAAATGACAATTAGAAGTGACATAACATGAGCCTGAAACTTTTTCGGTGAGCTCGTGAAATCTTTCAAGAAACTTTATCACATTTCTCACATTCACCCAATCATCACATACAAATGGATCTACAAGATTCCCATCCTCACAAACATGTGTACAAAGATGAGTTGAAAATCCATCATCAAAAAGATGAAG